GAGCCTCTGGGGAGTTTAGGTCTTCATGGTACAAGACTTTAAAGCTCAAGTGATTATTAATATAGTACTTGTCATCCTTGAGCTGCCAATATTGTGCTCAAATTAAACAAGTTCCTTGATAAATGTTTCATGTTTCAATGAGTAGCAATCGACTTGGTGAGATGCTCACCTTATAGCCAACGCGGTAACCATGATCAAAGATCGGTTGGCTCCCTTCCCGTGTCTGCCTAGGGACCACAACTGGGAGATTATCCAAAATCCTGATAGAAGGAAAGTAGATTGTCAGGCACTGTATTATATATAGCTTATGCGGAACATAAACCACAATTCTACAACTTGGACCAGTATCATATGTAAGCCGGCTAGACAGTCATGTTAATCTTTTTTTGGCGGGGAATGGTCATGTTAATCAACTGGCAATACAACAAGAACTTCAAAATCAGAACATACATGTTCACTCGATATTCATCATCGATCTTCTCTCTGAAATTCTTTGCAGCCTCTGCAGACAGCTTTGTTCGACAAACAACTTTGCAACTCCCATCCCTCCTCATCTTGAACTGCAAGAGTTGGGAAAGTGAACTTAAGTTAATGAGTGCACAACTTATCATATTATGTTGTCGTGCTCTCTACACCCTTGAACAAACGGGCAAAAACCATTTGTAGAGTATTTAATGCAAGATACACTGGTAGTATACTTACATTATAGACAGAGTTTTCAATTCGGTCCCCACGAAGGACTTCCCCTAAGTTCTCAGCACTGTTCTTAATCGCCTCAGGTTTGCAGTAGTCCAGGTAATAATAGTCATATGGAAGTTGTGTCTTTATAGATGACAGCTTGTTGACCTTCACCTGGAGATCATCATCCTGCAATATGAACGGTTAGTCAACCTTTGAAAACCATTGAGCAAACAGAGAATATACACAGGAAACAATGGATAAAACTTCCAAACAATCATATCTATATACCTAAATAGTTGATCCCCACTAACTCAATTATCCTAACCTGCAACTATGCCAACTCATCATGCCATCATGCATACACCACTAAATTTAATTCTCTCGATATGCAACTATGCCAATTCACCATGTCACCATGCATGCTACTCATTCTCAATAAATATTTTACAACTATATAATAACCAGATATTGTAAATTGTATGTACTATTATTTCAATTCTCATATTGCTAATCAAAATACTGAAGTTTCATACTGCCAAATCTCATAGAAATAACTGCATCTAATTCCCACAGCAACACGCGGGGTATCATCTCTAGTTTAGAAGTTTGGTTATACAACTGTAATTGCCATAATAATTGAATGGTATGGTAAGTTGGTAACTGTCTCTCCAAAGAAATGACAGTCACCAATGCAACACAACAACTGGAGCTCCATAAACAAGAGGACTCCAACAACTTGTAAATGATGAAATCAATTAACACGTCAATTTAATGGCACCGGAGAACAGCATGCAAGTGTTAACAGGTGTTAATTAAGTTATACAGAGTGTATCCTGTTTTCCTGATCTCCTGAAATTGTAAATGTGTTAGGAGGCAACAAGAAACAACAACCATGCACTTGTCTATAAGGTGTGGCTTCTTCAAGTAGATCGCGAAGCACATAGGCAACACATATAGGCTTCAACATAAACGTTACTATTGCAGAATATACTTCTACACATTTGATTCTCATCAGAATATCATTCAAACAAGAGAACCAAATGAGCTTAAAATAGGTAAGGAGACTATTTGTCTATATCAAACTATATTATGATGGTATAACGGAAAGGTACCTCAGGATATGCATGGTGTTTTTAGATGATGTGGACATTCTAATACAACAACTCTAGTACATCTACAAGCATACTACATAAGGTATGTTGCCGTTTCAAACATTTTAATTGAAGAATGGTCTGCCTGTTGTCGTTTGCAGCCATCATATGAAGATATTAGGCCCTAGCAAGTTAGACGAAGACAACACTTCAGTTCATGCCACTTTCACAAGGTTTTGGTTGCAGTGTTGCAATCTCCATGAAACCCACCAACATACACAACAATAGGTACCTAACTGAATTTTCTACCCAAATCGCCCAAATAGTGTACTACCCAGTAAATACATGTTCTCCAACAGTACAAAGGATACTAAATTAAACAGCGATGAAAACAAGAGACGAAGCGATAACGTGTCTACACCTCTAGATGAACTCAAACAAGCAGAAACCAAAAATCCCCTGCTTATCAACACTTTCTGAAGTGTGACCTGCACCCATCCCACAATAATACCTACGCACTGCACCAAGACACAGTTAACCACATCGACGAATCTCACTATACCGTGCAATACCATCGCGATTCATGCTAAGGAGAGCTAAAAACAACATCAGGAGTCGGCCAATGGAACGAGGAGCCTAACCCCGACGCACCATGCTCGACAAAATTAACCGCACGCAATCAAGGCCAAGCGGGCACTGCCACGTACAGCTTTCACCCTACCCGCAGGTACGCCCAGAACGCACACGCAAGCCAGCATAAAATCCAGACATTCGGCTCTCCACCTCCATTGCTCAGGTCACAAAACCCTGAACCACAGACGCACCCCCTACCAATAATCCTCCAAATGCGTGGAGACCTTCCGAACCCGGGGAAACGAGGCCTGGCGAGCCAGATCTGAGGCCGCGCCTCCCGGTACGGCTAGATCCACCGGCGCGGGCGGCCGGGAGGCCACC